CAGGGAGAGACACTGGCAGGTTACTGGGCGCTCACTGGAACATCACTGAGCCATACTGGGGGGCAGTGGGAGGTCACTGGGACACACTGGCTGGTCACTGAGGGGGTTACTGGGCCGTACTGAGGGGCACTGGGAGCCCCTTACCTGGATGTGGTACATCTCCCCCCCGGACTTTGGGGGGCACCCCCAGGACTCCTTCCCCTTGGGGCTGGGAGATCCCCTGAACCCCACTGCTGGGCTTTATGGGACCCCCGGGCCCCCCTCCCTTTGGGGTCTCTGGGGTTCGGGGGGGGCATTGGGATCCCCTTTCCCTGGGGTCGGTCCGCCGGGCCGGCAGGGGGCGCTGTGACGGGAGGGGTAATGGCAGGTCGCGGGTAATGCCGGCGGGTAACGCCGGCGCGCCTGCGCAGTGCAGCCAGGGCGCTGGGACAGCCCCACCTCCCCCTGCGCGGGTTCCAGGCCCCGCGCTCTGACCCTCGGGAACCCCCGAACCCCTCTGCTAAACCCTCCCGAGCCCTCCAGCCTTCCCACCCACACCCGCGCTCCCCGCAGCCCCGAGCGGATCCCCAGAATCGCGCTCTCCGAGCGCAGCCGCACCTCCACCGCTACCGCTGCCCCGCAGACAACATGGCGCTCTGCGCACGCCCCGCCTCTCGAGCCCCCGCCGCAGCCAATCAGCGCTCGGCCCGTCCCCGCCCCGTCCCTGCCGGTCCCGCCCTGTCGGGTGAGCGGGGCGGGCACGGCGGGAAAGCGGCGGGGGGGAAAGAGCGGGGGGGACCCCAAAGGGAGCGCGAGGGGCGGGGGGTCACCCCCAAAGGGAGCTGGGGGGAGCCGGGCTTTGAAGGGGCTGCTTTTCCAAACTGCCCTGCTTATCCCACATGTGCACACTTCTCTCCTGCTGGGATCTGGCCCAGACAAACCTGAAAATACCTGGAAGTGCCACCTCCACCAGCACTTCCTCCACAGCTGCTTTCAAGGATTTCTCTTCAATTTGCCAAGGAAATGTTTCCAGATCATACTTCCATCTACAAGTCAGAACACCAGCCTGCACCAGGACTCCTGCTTGTTTTCCCTGCACTTGCTGACAGGAGGTGCAGAGGCAGGATGTCAGCACTTCATCACCAACAGCCTTAACGGGGCATGACTCCACTTTTTAACCTTGGAAGAAGAGCAGCTTTTCCTTCTCCTCTCCTGTTTTTTGGGTTTAGTTTTTTTTTTTACCTTCTGAATAAAAGAACACGTGTGTAAATTGAAATCATCTGAACCCAACTTTTGAGAAGACTGACACCTTTGAGCAGCTTCCTCTTAACCCTCTCTCCATGTTGGAGGAGTGGCCAGATGAAGAGTTACCAGCCCATCCTGGCTTCCAGAATGACACAGCTGGTGGTTAGAGATTCATCTCACAGTTATCTAGAATATGCCCAAACTTGTTCTGCCCTTCCTAATTCCTAACTCAGACCAATGGCTCCAAACCCAGCATCTGGGAGGCTGATTAGGTTGGCAAGAACATTTCCCTGTGTGATAACAGTGTGGGCACAAGGACTGGGAGTGTGTCATAAGAAATCTGACTTGCATACATGGGGTAGGAGATAAAAAAAAACACAGATAAGCAGAAAATGTTTGCAAGGAAGAATTGGCAGCAAATCTGTCAGAAGATTAGTGCAGGTGACTATCAAATACAGGAGAAAACATGATGAAAGGAGTAACTCATGACTCTTTATCTGAGCTATGAAATGAACAGTAACTTCAGCCACTGATGAGAGATTTTTTTAAATACAGAAGTGAGTTTGCAGTTGTAGCATTTTCCACATTAAAGCCTACAGCTGGTAAATAATAAAATAAGCAATTAAAAAGCAATCAAGCTTGCTGCATGAAAACCTCTCAAACAGGCTGCTTCAAACAACAACAGTCTTCTTGCTCCCCTCCTTCCCCCAAGCCCCAAAACTTACCATATCTCAGGTCTGTACTACTCACACACATCACTTGGCAGAGGAAAGCCACACAAAACAAAAGATAAAGAATAATTACTTGTTTTGGTAGGTACTGATGGTCACGTGTGTGGAATGGGAGGTCCCAAGAGGAGTGTCAGCTTGGTGGATGGTCCCTCTTGGGAAGTACAGTAAGTCACCTGGCTGCAAGAAAATTGATATATTTAGGGCACCAGGTCAAACCTTATTGCAGTCAGAGAAAATACTCCCTGAGCAGACAGTCTGACAATATATATCCTTTAGAATCACAAAATGGAGCAGTCCTGCAATGTACACTTTAATAACATAAAGAACACCAAGCCAGAAGTTCAGAACCTTAAACTTTCCAACCTGCTGTCAATATTTGCTGAAAACGTGAAACAAGCTTTTTAACATCACAGAACACACAGACTCCCACTGAGCTGCAGGAAGAGGACAAAGAAGCAGCTGAGATGGACCTGCTGGCAACACAGTGGGCTGGCAGAGGAGCAGTGAAATGGGGATTTGGTCAGATCACATCAAAAGAAAAGGCTAGTATTCCACGAGAAAAGCCAAATAGTCTATAAAAATGGTAATCTGTTACAATACTGTTGTCTGAGATTTTCAGTTAAAGCACTTAAAAAACAGGTACGACCTTCCTCCTCCTCCTCCCCATCTTTCTTCTCACCTATGTAAATTAAAACTCCACACTGAAAAAAAAACTAGATAAGGAAAGTCAAGGCAAGAAAGGTGTAAAGCACATAAAATTGCCTCCAAGAAGGAAATCAAAGTTTACTTGTGGCTTGTCCTGTAAACACCTATAGAGTTGGACAGCACAGCCAAAGAAAACTGCCTTCCTTACCAGAGTGGGGACCACAGCAACCAAGAGTATTCTGAATTCTCTTCAGTTGAAAGATGGAGAAAGGAAATGTTCTAGAAAGATGTTTAGGGAGGAAATAGAGTCAAACAACAGCATCCCTCTCAGAGGCAGCCACAAAGAGACAACCAAACTTTGACAGCAGCCACCCAGAAGAAATGGGTCACAGGAAGTGAACAACAGCAAACAGAAGAAAAATAAATTAAAAACTTGGATAACTTTTAAGCCCATCATTATTCCATAAAAATGAAAGGCACTGAAGTCTGGTCCAAAATATTCCAGAAATGAAAAAGGGAACTGTAGTTTACCAGACTTTGCATCACCCAGTACACGATGACGATTGAATATTCCCCTCTGTCAAACAACACAGCTCATGATGTCAGCATCCCATCCAATGTGTCACACTATTCCTCAAACACCTACACCATCCAACATGTCACACTATTCCTCAAACACCTACACCATCCAACATGTCACACTATTCCTAAAACACCTACACCATCCAACATGTCACACTGTTCCTCAAACACCGACACCCAAATGCAACTCTGGACACTGAGAAGAGCAGAGAGAGGCTCCATAACAGGCCAAAAGGCAGAGAAACTCCTGAGGATTCCAACATGGAGCAGCACCACCAGCTGGACAAGTAACACTTCAAAAGCAGGTCAAACAGAACAGGACAAGCACCAGATTCCCTGCTGACACTCAGTAATCTTCATGAAATGTTCCTTTCATTCCAAAAATCAACCACCAACCAAACACTTGAATTTCAGGTTTGGAAAAAGGAAGAGCAATTAATACAGCAAGTTTATATGGGGTTTGGGTCATGCTTTTCTTTATCAGCCAAGGATAAATATTTAAATCTCATTCACCAGAACAGTGACAATGTTCAGTGCAGCAGTAAGTCTCAGTGCACAGAAGGATTAGCCTGAGTGATTACAGGCAGCATGTAAAAGCATAAAAATGTTTTAGAACCATACACAAACCCAGTGTTTTTCCTGCACACAACTCCACAAACATGACCTAGGAGTCAGGGTGCCCAACCTGGAGAGTACCAGTCAATTTACAGAAATAACTGGGGGGTTTGGCCCATTATTTAAATACTAGAAGCAAAGGATACCTTTAAAAAAGGATACAGACAACTCTCACCCAAATTTCTCGTGCTCGCAGTGTGCAAACCCTCCCCTCATTAATTTTTAGATGGCTACAATTCAGAGAAATTTAAATTTGAACTATTTTTTTTTGTCTCTATTTAGAGACAACAGACCGAGGAGTTGTGAAGTGGGATCTGTTTTATCCTAAGGCAGGCATTTGGAAATCCCTGTTTCTCTCCAGTCACTTCAGTAAGTGCTAGAGAACTAACCCAAAAGGAACATCTGCCACCCAAATAGCCAAAATTTCAGGTGGAAGAGGCTTATCCCCAACAGAGCATCAGAAACCTCTATAGGGTGCCCAATGGGGGTAGATGGCATGAGTTAGAAATGCTGGATGTGAGGCTGCTGAATAACAAGCATAAGGAAAATGAAACTCCAGGTGTATTGAATGGAAATGAAAACATTAAAAAGCAAAATACACATATAAGGATTGGATTTTTTGATTTGGTTTAAGTGGGATAGTCCAATTTTTTCTTTATAACGCAGTGTATATTCGTATGTTTCTTTTAGAAGCTGATTTAAAATGCATTTGGACCACAGGAATTCATCATATCAGTAACTTCTTAAAGACAGCAGGACCAACAAGCACAACCAGTCTGCTGTTACAGTCCAGCTGAAGAAAGAGCAAGTACTTAGTAAAGGGAAAAGGACTTGTAAATTCTTGGGGCCTGAATGAAGTGAAAATGAAAAAACAGGTGCTAGAAAGCTTCTGAAGCTGTGAAAACAAACTTCTCTTTTTATCTAAGGGAAATACCAGGTCTGGAAAACCCAGTTTACATGATATTATGATTAGATATTACTATTAGTAAATTTTCAGCAAAAATATGTAAGAAAAATGACTACAAGGAAACACAAATTAAGAAAAAAAACATTTTCCTGTAATGTTTAGTGGGGGGAGGGTTAGAAGCACACACACAACAGCAAACACTGCCATCAGCAAAAGCCCAGGCACAATTTCCCAGGCAAGGTTGTGCTGTCCTACCTCAACATCATCATAGTGAGGAGGAAGGCTCTGGGATCCCTGGGCAGTGATGGAAACATTGGACCCCACCAGAGACCCAAAGCAGCACTCCAGCTTCTCCTGAAAATCTTCCACAGCTCCTCCTGTAAAAAAAAAAGATGCTGTTACTTGCTGAAGAGCTCAGGCAAGCCCAGCCCACATCCTCCCCATGGCTTGGGAAGAATGATCACATCAGGGACACAGAGGCTGGGAAGGAAGGTGCTCTGTACCAGTGTTTCTCCTGAAGGAGAGCACTGGAGATGCAAAGGGGATCTGCCAGGAGAGTCACTGCTAAGCCAAAAAGTCTGGTGCCCCAACCTGTGTTTGTTCTCTTCCCTGTGCCATCTTTAGGCTGCACAACCAGACAGACAAGGCTGAACAGAGGAAAATAATCCCACAAACAGCAGAACACCATAAGACAATAAGCACATGCAGGACCTGCATTCTCTCACCAGAGAGAACATACAGAGGTTAGAGACCTTTCACCAGCTACTCCAGTCATTTGGGAATATTCAAAACCAAACTTGACTCATCCACACCCCACATGTGACAGACAAGGCACCGAAGGGAAACAGCAGAACGTGCCAAGTACCAGATCCACACAAGTGCAGCTTGGCCATTAAAGCTGACAGCAGCCAGGAACACTATACCTGGGACTCAGCTTGTATTTGGGATCTCATTTGGGTCCACCTCACAATTCAATTGTGCTGACACCTTCAAGGCTACCTGAATCAAAGCACCTCCAAGAATCCAAGTCCTTTTCACAACTGTGCAGCACCACTGTCTCCTTCTCAAACTCAAGGACTGAGAACACTCAGCTAAAATGGGCTGGTACCTTTCCATGGTGCAATTCACCGGCAAGAACACTGGAAATATTTCACATGGTTTCACACCTTACCCTCCATTAAAGGGAAGTGGCTCAAAAGCCACAAAGTTTGCACAAGGAAACAGTGGGGCAGAAGGGATAATTTAAGCACAGATGCCTAATCATCAATTTTGTGCATTTGTTTTTGTTTCCAAACTTTTATGTGACAGAGCAAAATTTTAAAAAGAATATATTAATACACATATTATAGCATGAATCAGATTTTGTTCTTACTGCAGAGCAGTGAAACATGATGGACAGTGCAAAAGTATAAACTGTGTTTTAATCCAGCTCATGTAAAGATTTCAGCAGGTCATCAATGTCAACCACTTCCCCTGGGGACAGAGATGAAGCCATGCCTAGTGCAACTCAAACACACCACATTATTAAGCCAGCATCAATTATATCCAGTGAAACAATCCCACCTTAAATCTCTGAGGCTGATGAAACTGTATTCTTGCCTTTTTCTGGTCAAAATCCTTCTTCAGCTGCATGTAATTCACTTTGCCTTCTTTATTTATTATTATCTTTCTTGGGCATGGTCCCTGTTCAAGAGGAGAGAGGACCAAAACAATCAACCAGCAACACAACCTCAAGAGCTCACGGGCCCAGAGCAACAACTCTTCCCCTACCCAGTGGGATATCAGAGTATCCCGGGAACAGCTCTGGTTTCAGAGCCTCACTATTTGCTCCAAAGCATTAACAGTTTACAGAAGACAGGGAACATTGTTAGGCCTTCCTGTTGATGCTCTGTAATTACTACATTTACAAGTTTAAAACTTGTCAAATTTACCAGTTTAAGAACTGAAAGGCCAAGATTCTGCTTTCAGTCCTGTCGAGCTGTCAAACTTTGTTTATGTAGAACAAAAAGAATTCTTTCATACAAGCACAGACATTTCATTTTAAAGCTGGAAGTCATTTACTTTGTTTTTCCCAGGCAGATAGTATGATTGTGTACCATTATGCCAAAATAAAGAAGTTGATCTACAAATGGTTTGGCTGCCAAATTCTCAGGAAAGTTAAGGGGGAAATCAAGTAACGGTAGGTAACTGTGCAAGTCTGGAAAGCCAACACCTGAGAAGCTTGAACGTGCTGATGCCATAATTTCTAAGTAAAAATGACAGCTCTACTCCCTACACCCATTTGTTAGGAAATGCTATCAATTTGTTGAGATACTTTTATTTACACAGATCCCGTATTTTGAAACTTAAACTCCAGTTCTGGTATTTACATGCAGCACTAAGTTCTTCTGTGCAGCAGGACACCCGTGCTGGCCCACTAACTCCTGGGCAGTGTTTCATCAGCAGCTCCTGCACAGCCTGTCCCTCAGCAGTAACCGAGGGTCACCTCAGCCCTGCAGGAGGGAATTCACATCACCTCCTTCCTGAGAGAATGAACATTCCCAACTGCAGCACGAGGCAAGGGAACACGTAAAAAATTAAAGGCTGAAAATCAGTCCCTGACTGACAGCAAGATCTGAAGATGCTGCTGAAGGCACCAAGATCTAAAGCTGACATCCCCAAATGACAGCAACACAAATGCAACCAAGCCTGGATTAAGAGTTTTGAATTCCAGACCTAAATCCATTGTACCAACCTCTCAGCTCATTCACACTGATTTAAAGAAGTTACATTCAGATATTTACTATTCATAGAGCGCAGCTTCATTTACAACACGGGCTGTTCTGTAGCCTCCTGCTGGTTATTACAGCTGTTCCAAGCCCCCTGCCATGGGCAGGGATACCTTCCACAAGATCTAGTTGCTCAAACCCCATCCAACAGGATCCAACCAGGCCTTGAGCACTGCCAGGGATGGGGCATCCACAGCTTCTCGGGGCAACCTGAGCCAATGCCTCACCACCCTCCAGCAGAAAAAAATTCTCCCTTACATTTAGTCTAAACCTAAACCGTTCAGCTTAAACCCATTGCCCCTTGTCCTGCAGCTACAGGCCCTCATAAAAACTCCCTCTCCATCTTTCTTGCACCACTTAAGTCCTGACAGGCTGCAAGGAGGTCTCCACAGAGACTTCTCCAGATTGAGCCATCCCAACTCTCCCAGCCTGTCTCCGCAGCTGCTCCATCCCTCTCATCATCTTCCTGGCCTTCCCTGGACTTGATCCAAGAGGTCTGTGCCCTTCTCACGCTGGGAGCTCCAGAGCTGGATGCAGCGCTCCAGGTGGAGAATCACCAGAGCGCGGCAGAGGGGCAGAACCCCCTCCCTCACCCACGGCCCGCTGAATGGGATGCAGGATACGCCCGGATTTCTGGGCTGGGAGCTCAGCGCCAGCTCAGCCCCAACTTTCCATCCACCAGCACCCCCAATTCCTTCCGTGCCGGGCTGGAGGACAAAGCCCAGCGCAGAACCCCACACGGGAGCAGCTGCTCCCCGCCAGGGCTGTTCCCTCCCACACCACGGCAGCTCCCTGGGAAGCGGCGGGAATAGCGCCGGGCACGGCGGGAATAGCGCCGGGCACGGCGGGAATAGCGCCGGGCACGGCGGGAATAGCGCCGGGCACGGCGGGAATACCCCCGGGCACGGCGGGAATAGCGCCGGGCACAGCGGGAATACCGCCGGGCACAGCGGGAATAGCGCCGGGCACAGCGGGAATAGCGCCGGGCACAGCGGGAATAACGCCGGGCATAGTGGGAATAGCGCCGGGCACAGCGGGAATAGCGCCGGGCACAGCGGGAATACCGCCGGGCACAGCGGGAATACCGCCGGGCACAGCGGGAATAGCGCCGGGCACAGCGGGAATACCGCCGGGCACAGCGGGAATAGCGCCGGGCACAGCGGGAATACCGCCGGGCACAGCGGGAATAGCGCCGGGCACAGCGGGAATACCGCCGGGCACAGCGGCTCCGAGGACACGCGGTGTCCCCGCTCCCCCTCCCGGCTCCCGCCGCCTCCATCCAGCCCCTTCCCGTCCCGCGGCCCCGCACTCACCCGGGCAGGAGGGAGGATCGCGTGGGATCGGGGCGGGTCGGGATGGATCGGGGCGGGCGAGGGGAGGCGAGGCCAGGCTGGATGTGCCGGGTGGGAGCGGGAGGCGATCCTGCCGCGCTGGGAGTCACGGCAGGAGCCGCTTCCGGGCGGCCAGTCGGAAATACGGCGGCATTCCAGGGTCATTCCAGGGTGTATTCCAGTGGGAACGCAGCAGCACTAAGGTTAATCAATCTGCTTCATACAACGGTGCCTGGGCTTCGGCTGCGTTATTTATTTTTTTTTTCCTGGACCAAAAATCTTCTTCTGGAGTCTCCCTGAGTCTCCCTCAAAGAAAACTTTGGAATCCTCACCGAGCACGTGAAAACTTCCAGAAATATTTTTGGATGCCTGTTAATGGTTTGGTTTACGTTGGCTAATGATGTCAGAAACAAAAGAAAATGTTAGGTAGGCTTTGCTGAAGCTTTGTTCTTGTGTACTGGCTTGAAGGATACGAAGCAGAACTAGCAGAAATAAAAAAGGTGGATTTTGGAAACCTCAGCAGCCTTACAGTGCACGGCTGATGTTGGTACAAAGTGACACTGCCATAAGTGTAAGTAGTGTAACTAGAAGGAGCTTTCAATGACAGGTAAGAGAGGGGACTGTGTCCTGTCAACAACTTAAGGAGGGAGAATAACAGAGCCTTGCACATCTCCAACACCAGTTCAAATCCTTCCCTTTACGGAAAGTGGTTTTCAGTCTTGTTCCTCCTCACAGTGTGGTTGTTACACAGTCAGAACTTCTGCTTCCCTGGCACCAGCTGGATCATTTGGAACAAATGTCCTGATTCCAGTGGGTTCTGCACTCATGGATGCATCCAGCAAATTCCTGTGTGCTGAGCAGAGGAAGTGGCAAAGTATAATATATAGAAAAGGGGGGTGGAGGAGAGAAAAAGGCAAACGCTGCTCATACTGTTCAGTCCTTGTTCCTTTACCACCTGGACCGCTCTGTCGCCAGCTGACCAAAATATCATGGTCACTTGAACATGAAATAAGGATTAATCAGCATGTGGCTGGGTTACCAGCAGAGAGATTTTGCCAGGGGTGAACCTACAGCTGTCCTAATTGTAGAAATGTGTACAAATTAGATAAAAAAATTTAAGTTTCTCTAGAAAGCTTTTTTTTTTCATAGGCCTGTGAGCTTCAAAGAAAAAGAAGACAATCTCCACTTTCTAATTCTGAGTTCATCACTACATCCCTCAACATCCAGGACATTTTGCAAAACTTATTAAACTTCAAATATTTTAATGTAAATGCTCACCAATAGTTGGGATATTCAAAGTGAAAAATAGGTCACTGTCATGAAATTCTCTTTATTTCTTTCATGAGAATTAGCAAGCTTTGAAGAAGGAAGTAGTTCTCCAGACTTAAAAGGTTGCATCACCTAAATTAACACTCACAGGATGGGCGTACCAGCAGATGCTAAAAATAGAGAGGCCACATCCTGCACCTCAGCCGGTCACAGACACCCTTAAAAGATGTTATTTCTGTTCCAAAAATCCACAAAGTACCTCAGCATAACTGCCTGGACACCATCAGGGTGAATACTCAAACAAATACACATTTACATAATGGCTGTGGTGTTTTTAATTTGCTGTGGGACATAAACCCCACACATCTGACTGGCTGCAAAACCAGTAGGAATGGGGAAATACTTTTGAGTACCTTTTTAAAGACTTCCGGGCTGATCTGGAGAGACAAATTGGCTAAAAGTATTTATTCCCATCCCAGTGGGGAAGGTAACACAGCTTCAGAGGAGGGTGGTGGGTGCTGTAACCAGCCCTCTAGCACCCCCCAGACGAGAAATAATGCGTTTAAATACCGTTTGTTATTTTTAACTGCTAATACAAGCAACAGCTTTTTGAAGTGTAATTGATCCCGGTATCATCCCTGTCACTGCCTTAAGAAAATAAAAATTATAACCTTTGCTGTAAAAATATCCAGTCAAGTTTCATCAGCATTTACAAGGGCCTGTAGTGACAGCACAAGGGGGAATGGCTTCAAACTGAGAGAGGGCAGGTTTAGATCGGATATTACGAAAAAAATTCTTCCCTGTGAGGGTGGTGAGGCACTGAAACAAGTTACCCCAAGAATTTATGGATGCCCTATCCCTGGAAGTGTTCAAGGCCACGTTGGATGGAGCTCTGAGCAACCTGGGATAGTGGAAGGTGGAAGGACTGCCAATTCCAGCACAGGGCTCCTGCAAGCACACGACTCTACCTCCACCCTGGAAAGAAAGCCCTTACCCTCCGTCTCTCATGTGCAGTTGTTGGGGCAGCCTGGGCACTCGGTGGGCAGCAAGAGCTTTCTGTGGTGGCACCTTTTGTCTGGCAGGAATCTTCAGTTGGATTCAATTTTGGGGAGGTGGGACCGGCCATTGCAGCGCAGGGCTGAAAAAAGAGAGCAACAGCCCTTTTTCCCAGGAAAGCAAGCCTGTAACCTTTGAGTTTCAGGTGCAGTTGGTGGGTTTTACAGATTGGTCAGGGGCTGCAATGTGGTTCTTTAGATGATTACTTCGAAGGCGAGATTGAGGCACAAAACTCCAAATGTTAGGTCTCAAACAGACAATTTGCTTTCTTTGTAGCAATAAGTAATGGTAAAATCGAGGCGGGAGGGGAGAAGAAGAGGGAGAGATAAGGAAAAGGAAAGTGCAAAAAGGTTACCACCCCCAGTGAGAGATCCAGGTGTAGTCAGCCTCAGGCAGTCATGGAAGGGCCGCTGGAGAGAAGCAGGGGGGAAACAGACTGGATGCAAGACAGACAGGAGACGGAGCAGGTGGGACATGAGCAGGACAGAGGCAAGCAGGATGGAGCGAGGAGGGGGGACCAGCAGGGGACCCTGGCCAACACTGACTGGACTCACCACCACGCTGGGCACTGCCTTAAATCCCCCCCTGTGGGCGCTCACTGGCCAGCCTGGCACCGGGCACACCTTTACACGATGTTGAATGGCTAAGCTGCTGGTATACAGGCAGGCTGGCTCTGCCAAGGCGGGAAAATGTACCAACTTTCTGTTGGAGACTCTCCAGGGGTTCCCCAAGACTCCAGCAAGCAGTCTAAAATGTTTTCCTAGGCTGACGAAGACAGCCCTGCAAAGAGCTAAAGCCGGTGTCCGCAATTCTGTTCAGTCACTGGGCTCCAGGGGAGGTTCCTGGTAGCCTGCAAAACTTTCACTTGGAAGTACATCACCTGATGGAAATACTTTCGTTAGTGTGAAGTGGTTAATTGCCGCTTGGGACACTTTAAACGACTTGAAAGAAGCCTTGCACAAGGAGCTTAATTGCTCCAGTAACACCTATAGAGCCTCCATGGGACAGATAATTACCAGTTCCTTATTGCAGAGGTCAATATCAAAACAAAGTAGAGAGTAAGAAATAAAAAATCTATTACAACCAACAACTGGTCCTAGCAGCCAAAGCTTCCAGGCTTTCTTTCCTGGGGGAAAGAGCTGCTGTTCCCTTCTTTCAGCCCTGAGCTGCAATGGCCGGTCCCACCTCCCCAAAACTGAACACAAATGAACATTCCTCCCAGACAAAAAGGTGCCACCACAGAAAGGTCTTTGCTGCCCAAGAAGTGCCCAGGCTGCCACACAAACTGCACCTCAAAGCCAGAGGACGCAGACTTTTTTTCCTGAGGGAAAGGGCTGCTGTTCCCTTTTTTCAGCCCTGCACTGCAATTGCCAATCTAACTCCCAAAATTGAATCCAAATTAAGATTCCTGCCAGACAAAAGGTGCCACCACGGAAAGCTCTTGCTGCCCAAGAAGTGCCCAAGCTGCCCCACCAACTGTACCTCCAAGCCAAAGCTTCCAGGCTTTCTTTCCTTGGGGTAAGGCTGTTGTTTCTTTCTTTTCGGAACCCTGCACTCGACTCCCAAAATTGAAGACGGACAAAGATTCCTGCCAGACATGAGGTGCCCAGTCCAGGCCTCCCTGGACACTCTGCCAGTGCCACATCAAGATCCTGTACAGCAACACGTGCTGGGTTGTGTCCTACGGCAAAAGCAGGTGTTCCCGACTCCAGGGCTCTTCCCTGATCCAGTATGGCAAGAGCAGGAGACGGAGTATCTCGGCACCTCAGTTAGTTCTGGCAAGAGACTCCATCCCTCCCAGAGCCTCTGGGAGACCTGCCGGAGTCACACACAGGAGCCCCTCTGGCCAGGTCTCCCTGGGGAAGAGGGAAGAGCGGGGAGGAGCAGAGCCCGCTCCTCGCCGAGGATGCACATGGCAGCAAAAGGCTGCGGGTAGGAGTGGGAGCCCAGGCCATTGCAGTCTAAGATTCCCAGGAGCAGGTGGCCCAGCAGCTCCTGTCCCCAAGACACCGGTTCTCAATCCACTGCTCCCAAGAAGCTGCGGCTTTGCCGGAGGAGAAGATCCTTTCTCTGGATCTGGACAAGATCGTCCAGTGACGAAGGCAAGTGCTTCCAACTCCAGGGCTGTCTCTTGAGCCGCCTCTAGAGTAGAATATCAGGGAATATCTCCACATCTCTGTTCCTCCCTGCGATAGCCTCCATCCCTTCCCCAAGCTCTGGCAGTCCTGGTGGACTGCAGGCAGATTAGCCTCTGCCTAAGGGACAAAATCCAGCCTATACGGCAAGGACTTCAAGTATTTCAGTTTTGAGCCAGTAGGGCACTGCAGTACTGTTGTGTAAACACTAAATAAGGAGAAGGGGAAGGAAGAAAAGAGAAACTTTTTTTTTTGGTTGCAAATAGGTTCTTTTCGCGAGGGTTTAGGGTGGATATTTGGGAAAGGTTCTTCCTTCTGAGGGTGGTTGGGCACTGGACCAGGCTCCCCAGGGCAGTGGTCACAGCACCAAGGCTGGCAGAGTTCAGGCACACGGTGTGACTCTTGGGGTCGGTGCCGTGCCGGGCAAAGGCTTGGACTCGACGCTCCTTGTCCCTTCCAACTGAGCATGTTCTGTGATGGTGCGATGAGTTCCCTCTCTTCAACACTTTTGTTCTTTTTAGGGCTCCTCGCTGCCCGGGGGCCGAAGCCCGCCTTCCGC